TCGATATGGATGCAATAATAAAAACTGGATTTGAGAAAGTAAATAACCAAATAACTTTTCAACCAAGCACTTTGAAGTCAAATGGAGAAGCTTTAGTAGTGGCAAATGTCAAAAAAAATGGAAGAATTATGTGGAAGAATTAAGAAAAATTAATTACCATAAATAATGCTAATCCATAAATGCATAAATTAGCAGGTTAAGCCCATGATATCATCATATTGGTTTGAACAATTAATTCTTTCCCTGTAAACTTTTGGACAGCGAATATATCTTAATTCATCTTCAGAAAAACTTGATGCATTTTTGTAAACTTCAAAAAAATAAAATTTAAACATTAAACTTGATTTTTGGGTTAAAATGAAAGTGAGTGTTATGAAACTAAAATTTACACTTAAAAGTGAACTTTTATTTATTATTTATTTCAAACTGACTTTAAAATCGGGCGTAAGAATCATGCATAATTTAGTTTATGTTACTTATGATTTTTTATGATATAAATCCAATTTTCTCTTTGTAGTAATTTGTACTTCGAAGCTGGAAACGAATAAAACTTAAATTGACAATTTTTTGTTGTATTTTTACAATTTATAACACAGCATTTCCTAAATCCCACTTTCTTCAGTGACAGAAGGTGTAAATAAACAAACGAATATGAAATATGACAATTGACAATATGAATTTATGAAATCTATGAAATTTGCAGTAAAAAATGCAAGATTTCTCCACTACTCGCGCACGATCGTTTCTCGTATCACATCCAAGTACTTGCACGTCGCCAATAGGTAAATTCGATTGCGCCGTTTTTAGTGTACCCTAGGAGATTTTTTAAAGATTATATGGTTAAAAAACGCACCTCTAGGCTCCCAGGGGTGTGCTGCACCGTCCGGATGGATGACAGCAGAATTATTTGAACAGTGGATGATTTTGTCAAACATACTAATCCTACAAAGGATTCTCCCATTTTACTAATCATGGACAACCATGAGAGCTATGTTTCTTTAGCATCTATTAAATTTGCAAAAGAAAATAATATTGTTGACTTTGCCGCCACATACTAGTCATCGCTTTCAGCCACTAGATAAAGTTGTGAGTTGGTACTCTGAAGAAATATTACTCACATGATTGTCAAAATTGGCTATTGAAAAATCCTGGAAAGAGATCAATTTACGACATAGCAGAGATTTTGAGCGACGCTTATCCACTTGCTTTCTGTCCCAAAAATGTGGTATCAGCTTTTAAAGTTACTTAGGTATTTCTACTCAATGATAACATTTTTAATGACAATGATTTTATGGCTTCAACCGTGACAGACATGCTAAACATACATCAAGAAGAACAACAACCAAATAATTCAAATGTTAGCGATATACCACAAATGGACATTCGATTCCCTTCAACATCAACTTGTCCAGATAAAATACCAAAAACAATTCAGAAACATCCATTGGAAATAACACCTGAAAATGAAACTGTTTCTTATGAAGCGATGGTAACTTCAAAGGACACACCCGAAAATCGATTTATTTCCCCTGTATTACTGCAACCATACCCTAAAGCTACCTTATTGCCATTAAAAAAAGCAAAGGAAAAAGAAGACTACTGAAATTTTAACTGATACACCAATTTATAAAAGGAGCTAGGACAGCTAGTTCAAACAAGTCGAATAGAAGTAATGCAAAGAAAAATAAAAGCATACCCAGTGACATTGAATTGTCTGATGTTGTGGATTCCGACGATAGTCTATTTTCAGAAGTAGATGAAATTTCTAACGAAGACATGTCCTCACGAATGGTGGAAGTGAATTCATTTGTTCTCTTGAGGTTTCAAATAAAGAAAACTTTATGTTGCACAAGTTACAGAAGTTTTTTCTTCTTGTTTTACTTCAATGTAAATTTTCTAATGCGTCATGGAATACAGTTGTCAGTTCCTACAATTACAGATTCTGGCACAATTACAAAAGAAGATGTTCAGCTCATTTTAACCCAACTAAAAAGTGCTAAAGCAACACAACGAATAGCAAACTTGTTTACTTTTAAAGCGGATTTATCATCATAATATTTGTTAAAGATTAATATTACTTTTCATTTTTTTATTAATATTATAAATAAAATATAAGAATTGCAAGTAATGACTACTGTACCTTACCTTTGTGCCACTGTACCATCTAATTGGTATAGTGGCCATATTTTTTGAAAAAAAAAAATTAGACACTCCTGCATAACCTGGGCTATTTTTTGGGATTACATTTTTAATTTACCAAATGCTTTAACGTTGTTTGAGTTGATACTAATTAATATTATGATTTATATTAAAGTTATCTTGAATTTACTCGAAAGGTGGCCCCTGTACCGGCCTCTCCCTCGCTTTTATACCCCACTACAATTTTGGGGTAAAAGTGGTAAATATTTTTGGGGTCCCAAAATTAATATTCTCGGCAAAATTCAGCTTGTTCGTATGATTTTTAGGGGTCAAAACTCTGGACTATTAGTTGGAATTCAAAAATAGATTTAAGTATTTAAAATTCAAAATTTCAAATGTTTATTAAAAAATTTGAATATTTAATATAGGTGTAAGAACAATAAGTTTTATGCACGGAGTTTATAAAGGAGTGTGTCAGAATCTAATACCGAATGATGTGAGGTTCTCAATCTCAATAAAAACTTCAAATCCCAGAAGTATTAGCATGGAAAGCAATTGCAAATCGTTGAGTAGTAATTTGCGTAGTACAACTCTTCTATATTTAATCATTCGAAATAGATATTAACCTGTATCCGGAAGTATCTTCTATATATCTCTTTCAACGTGTAGCCCTCTGACCGCGACCCGATATAATAAAGAAAATAAGTCAATAAATAAAACAACTAAAGCAAATACACCTTACTGTTAAACTCAGTGGCGTTAATTACGATTTATTTGTATTCAAGGTTAATTTATTAGGTTATGAAAAAAATTATTTGTAATGCCATATTTTATGAGGTTAATGTTGACATATTGATCTGGAAAAACATGCAGTCCACAATTGTTAATGATGGGATTAGGAAAAAATAAATCAGAGATTCCTTAAGTGCAATCCAGGGAATTCAGAAAATATATCAGAATCATCCGATTTTAGAACCGATTAAAAAGGCCTTGTTACTTTGGAAAATAATCATAAACAACTACATATTTTGGGGATACCAGGAAATGAGATAGCTGATCAAATGGCCAAAGAAGCTTTTAAAATGGAGAGATCTGATGATAGAACTAATCAAATTTTAGTAAGCGATGGGAGCCGGTTGTACTACATGGTATCCGAATAGGACATACCAGACTGACGCACGAACACCTACTAAGGAAGGAACCTACTGGAAAGACAAGCTACTGGACTACCAAGTGACATAAAGTGCGCTTTAGACAGTGCGAATTGTTACAAAATCATTAGGTTTTTAAAGAAAACGAAATTGTATAATCAAATATATGAATTGAAGTGATACTTCAAGAAAAAATTCTAAATTATAATCAACTTTGTAAAAACTTTATAGTTTATATTTCATTAAATCATTCATTTATATTCTATTAAATCATTATAATATATTAGTCTATATTGTACCACCGCTAATAACTTTCTATGGTAGATGCGGGTTATTCAAAAAAAATAAATAAATAAATAATAGCCCACTGAAGAAATAAAAAAGAAGAAGAAAGTTGGCTTGGGCAGCATTCGGTAAACTGAACTAAATAGTCAGAAATCAACAAATTCAATTATATCTTAGATCTAAAGTTTTTGATGCATGCATTATTCCGATATTAACTTATGCGGCACAAACATAGACAATCACAAAAAAGAATATGAATATACTTAGAGTCACTCAACACGCAATGGAAAGAGCAATGCTAGGTATATCACTTAAGGACAAGAAAACAAACACATGGATAAGACAGAAAACCAAAGTCACCGATGTGGTGCAAAAATCATTAAAGTTGAAATGGGAATACGCTGGACATGTAGCTAGGAGCGATCTAAACAAATGGCACAGATCAATTTTAACCTGGAGACCATACCAACACAAAAGACCCAGAGCAGACCTCCTATGAGATGGACAGATGATCTGAAAAGGACTGCCGGGAAAAATTGGCTACAAGTAGCGTACAATAAAAAACAATGGAAAGGAAGACTTGAAGAGGCTTATGTTCAGATGTTGACGTGAATGGCTAGACGAAGAAGAAGAAGAAGCCACATTTAGTAAGTAACTAATCATATAGAGAAATATTCTGAGCAATATGCACGAAACACTAATCCAAGAAGCTTCATACAGACTTATTGATACATAGAATCAGAATAAATTCACTAAACTTGCAAAGATCGTAAAGGTGTCAAAGAAACAACATTTTTTGAATATTTATGAAAGAAGACATTTAATTAGGAGTAAGCTCAAGATAGAACTAGACCTAGGATAGAAGTAAATTACTCATTTCATTAATAAATAAATATTAATATTGCAGAATAGGAGTTAAAAGTGATATAAAAACTGTTTTTTTAGAGACCATTTACTTTGTAATTGTTACAATACCAAAAACAAATTATTACCTTTTTCCCAGTATTTCATATAGGCCTCCTATAAAATTTAGCAATCCTTTTATTTGTGTGGCTATTTGCTTTTTAGTTTTTTTTTAAATACTTTATAAAAGGTATATAATTAAAAGACTTTTTCAGGCTACATCACAAATTTTTTTCGGACTAAAATGTCCATAATCAGTGTATTATTACCTGAAATAAGTATTACGACTTTAGTTAATGCAAATGTAAAGGTTAAATTTTAACTAAGTTTGAAAAATCAATGTGGTTAAATACTTAAGAGGTGTACATGAGTCAAGTAACTAAATATCTGGGTAAAAACCCTTAAAAAGTTACAAAATTTATTGTGTTACATTTTTGTTGATTTGTTTTTTATCTGTAAAGTTGCTTAAAAAGTATTTTAAATTTTGTCTACAAATATTTAATAAAAGTTATGTAATTTCAGGTAAGAGCAGCAGCTGTTTATGCTTTAGGAACCTTCATCAATTCCGTAATGGAACGTTCTGAACATGCGAACAATGTCGATAATGCCGTAGTAATGACATTGGTAAATACAGTGAGTGGTGATATGAGTTTTTTAGTTAGAAAGGAACTAGTCAACGCTCTGCAGTGGGTTGTGTTAGCTTTCGAACCACTTTTTGTTAATTTAGCTGTGAAAGAACAAACTAGTGTTTCTCCCGGTCAAGATTGTATACTGAGTTCGGGAGGAATGAGAAGAATGGGAAGCAGGTAGGTCAGAAATTTAAAACTAGTTATAATTCATTTTAAGTCTACTTTTCTCAATTCCATTAAGATATATTAAATGTTACTATTAATATATTCCATCAATAAAATAAAAAGTGGGCTCAATGGGGATTTGAACCCGGGGCATTTCGCACCCAAAGCGAGAATCATGTCCTTTCTCTATTGAGCCTTCATATTAACGCTGTTGCTGTTTGCTTCGACCTATAAGATTTATTGTGTTTCCATTTTCTTGTTTTCTCTGAAATTATCAGCCAACGAATTACTAGTCCTACTAGAAGTTTTAGTATATGTATGCCCTTTATGTAAACCTTTATCTGATATCCTTTCAGTTAATATGTTCTGGAGTTCCTTAAGATACAGCAATTTGAGAGTATGTGTATAGAGGTTACATACGTAATCATTTTTTGTTTAAGCTTCTGTAATATTTAAAATTCTTATGGATATAGTTCATCAGAAGTATTTTTGTCTCATTCCATGTAAGTCTTTCCGATGGATGAATCTTTTGCGATCTGCTTACCTTTCGATTTTTTGTAGCATTACGCTGTTACTAATTCGACGAAATGGTTACGATCCCATAAAAAGTGTTTTTGAGTCTATTTAACTTAAGCATTACCCTACTACTTTGGAGCTGATGACATATGATTTCAGCGATTTGGTGACGATTTTTTTATCGAAGTCTAGCTGTTTTATCCAAGTTTTAAAGATGCTTGGAATTTTGTCCAGGTTTTTTGAGTATTTAGTTCTAATCTCCGTACACTCCTATCCCAGTTACTTGTGCTTTTGTAGAGCCGTCTGTGTAGCATTTGATAGTATTCTTGTTTATCTTAGCACTGGTGTTTTTGTTCTATTTATGTTTGCAACTTAACTTTGTAGTAAATTCTTGGGGCATGTCCTAATACTGGCTTTCATCTTAAATCGAGAATTGGGTCTAATGATTCCATGTATATTTTATTTTTTAGGTTAATGATCAGGTAGTTTTTTTATTACATAGGGAACCACTCTCCATCAAAATTTGAGGTTATGCTCAAATTGATATGGTAATTTCGAGTTTTCACTTGATACATAACTTAACCTTAAGTGACTACTAGGTTTATTTTAGGCATATTTATGTGAGACATAATATTGTAAAATTAGTTATTTTAATCAGAAATATTTCATATTTATTTCGATATGAAATAAAAGTAGTGACCCGACAGGATATTGAAAATAAAAATTATGAAGTTAGTCATTGAAGCTTTGTTCACAGCAACAAAATCGGCAAAGGGAAACAAGAAACTGGAGTAAAATACGGTGATAATCAACTGATATCGTCGAACTCTAAAACTGACAAAAGAATACCATATATATGAGTGTAGGGAAACCCAAACTATTTTAATTCTGAACAAAAGACTCAAATTGCTCAATTAGAATTCAAGAAATATGGAAAAGCTTAAATTATAACCACATCTTGTAGCGGACAATACAAGGTTGACGAAAAATAACAACCATTAACCTTTAAATAATAGGACACATAGTTTAATTACAATATATCTTATCTTGTATGTTGTAGAATAATTTTGTAAGCTTTATTAATCTTTTATTGAATATGATTATGTATTAAATTTTGTAGAGATAGACTGAAAATCGGAGATTACGACTCCATGGAAAGGATGAAACGAGTTTCTTCCAGTTCGGCAATCAACAACATAAGTCATCAAGGAATGACCACTAGTTACTCAGGAAGCCTTAGTACGTTATCTAGTCTTAGTTACGGTTCTGTATATATGAAAATATGGTCTGCCTTAAGTTCCTTAGAAAATGATCCCCATCCAGAAGTAGCCCAGATGTGTTGTACAGTTACGGGTCACATTAGGGCACTTGTAAAGGTAAATATAAGTTTTAAAAAGACACGTTACTAATGGAATATAATTGTGATTATATCTGTCCCATTCTTTCTTTTGATGAAATTTAGTTGTCTATCAAGTTACATTATACAAACTTCGTATTTGCAAATTTATTTACAGATTGGACTTGCAAAATATGTTCCATTACAGAGACATTTTTAAAAGTATCGAATTAAAAAAATTGTATAGAGTTGAAAGTTTCCTGTAAAGTAGTAACTTATTTACACCTTATCATCATGATGAAGCAGGAATTAACAACCAAGATATGAAAATAATTAGAAATCTTTACTGGAATCAGACAGCAAATCTCAGAGTTGAAGGTGAACACACTATCATGGGTGGAGTGAGGCAAGGCTGTATTTTGTCTCCTCTAATCTTCAATCTGTATTCTGAAAGAATATTTATCGAAGCTTTGCACGAAACTGAAAAAGGTATTCTACTAAATGGTTACCGGCTTAACAAAATCAGATATGCAGATGACACCATAGTATTTGCGGACAACTTAGAAGACCTACAAGTTCTTATGAACAAAATCACGTATTACAGTCAACAATATGGATTCAATATAAACGTTAAGAAGACAAATCTTATGATAATTAGCAAGAAAAGGATAACAGAAGGTCAACTCTACGTCAACCAATCTCCTGTATAAAGAGTGACGCACTACAACTACCTCGGCACCGTAATAAATGAAGAATGTACCAACAACCAGGAAATTAGAGCACGCATCGCAAAAGCTAGATCCACCTTCAATCGGATGGTGCCTTCTTCAAGAGTTACAACCTCTCTCCTGATACAAAAGTAAGAATGCTGCGATGCTACGTCTTCTCTGTCCTTTTATATGGTGTTGAATCGTGGACCTTGAACGAAGATATGTGCAAAAACCTGGAAGCATTTGAGATGTGGCTATATCGGAGAATACTTGATCCCGTGGACTGACAGTCACAAATGAGGAGGTCCTTAGAAGAATGAATAAGAACCGAGAGGTACTGACCAACATTAAATCTCGAAAGTTACAATTCTTCGGACAACTTATGCGAAATGAATCTAGATATGCTTTCCTTCAAGCCATCCTAGAAGGAAAAATATTTGGAAAGCGAGGTCCAGGAAGAAGAACATCTTGGTTAAAGAACCTTAGACTCTGGTTCAATACAACATATGTGCAGCTTTTCCGCGCTGCTGCAGATAAGATAAAGATTGAAATGATTATCGCCAACATTCGTAACGGATAGGCACATCAAGAAGATTATCATGATAGTTGAAAATATTTTACCTTTACCTATATAAAACTCCACGAAAATGCGTTTTTATACAGGTGGTATTGGAAATACCTCGAGTGAATTATGTAAAAAGTCAGTCAAATAAGCATCGAGGTTGGTTAAGTGATCTTATAACTTATTGTAACACATTATGTATTTTGTTCTAATTATAAACATTAATTTTACTTTTGTATGGTTTAATTTTTAGGAACAATGGGAAACTGTAGATCGTGTTAATAGTCTGAATAGTTCAAGTTTAAGTTTACCTCCTAGTCCAAATAAAGGAAATTACTTTTCCGCAGAGAGTCCTCCGACCCTTCATCCAGCTGGAGATCTTCAAAAATTAACAAGGTAACAAAAATAGAGATTTGTAGAAATTATAGGGATCTATTTATTATAACCGTTGAGCTTCTTCGTCGTATGAGACTAACTTGGGCAGCCTTCGGCAAGTTGCATTTTCAAGTCATCCGACATACTAATAAGTCTTAAAAGAAAAACCTTTAATCATTGTGGTTTGCCAGTGTTGACTTAACGAGCGGAAACGTTGACTATGACAAAGAGAATAGTTCGTGTGGCTCAAAAGGCGATGGAGCGTGCCATTTTAGGCGTTTCAATGCGAGACATGATCCTAATCCGCCAGCTACGACAAAGATCAGTAGTGGCTGATGCTGTAGTGAGAATAGCAACACTGAAGTGGAACAGGACAGGTCACGTGGCTCGAATGATAGATAATAGATGGACAAAGAGATAATAGAATGGAGACCAAAAGATAATACCTACCGAAGTGTCCAACAACACGTTGTACTGATGCCACGTTGTACTGATGATCTAAAACGTTGCCATAGGAATTGATGCAAGAGGCACAAGATCAAAACAGATAAAAAATTATGAAGGAATCCGCGCACAATACAGTGAACAAGCGAAGATTGAATAATATTGATAATTTATTAGAACGCTTTAGAGTAGACAAAGATGCATTTTTAAAGTGTTTCAAATGCTTAATAATTCCTAGCGCCTAATCATTAGAGCTATGGTTAACTTAAAATACCAGTATTTTCTTTTCTTCCAATCGCGCTATAGATCAAATTCAACCTTTACCGTGACTCATTTTATTTATATTCTGCATTTTAGTATCTACAGCTCTTCTTGGTAATTTGTCATCAGCCTTCTTCACTATCTAAGCAGCCTCACGATATCTCTGAAGGCTAGCGAATTTTGAGATAGGTGTTCATTTGAGTCTTCTTCTTCTTAAGGTGCCGTGCATTTCTGCGTAGGCGTCCACCGTACATCATCTTGTTAGGTGAGATGTTAAATATTCAGGATTAATTTTCTTGAGTAGTTGATAAAATTCGTAGTTATATCTGGATTTTCGTACCCCATTTTCGTTGATCGGTGAAAAGATCTGAGGATTTTTCTTTCTAGTACCTCTGAGTTGTAGTCGCCTCCCAGATATTTTAAGCTTTTTACTGAGTCGAATGTATTTATTATTTCCTTATTTAACTTATTTCCTCTTGTTCTTCAAGGCCTTAACCTAATGGAGCATTCTCTGAAGCTTAAGCAATAATTCATCATTGGGACCGGCTAATCAATTACCGGCGAAACAAAGTTATTTGCAGGCAGGCGCTAAAAACCTTAAAGGTATGAATATTGTCCTAAAACCATCAAAAGACTTCTGTTTCAATGGAACACTTTAAAACCATAAAAGAAATCATTCTGCACCAAATAGTGAAAATAAATTCAAGGGCACATGTAAAACCTAAATTAAACGATCTACCGTTCAAGACAGACTGGGTGATGCTCTGCCTCCCAGAGATAATAACATTCTTTATATCAAGATTTTTGTGAATTATCTTTCGAATAGTCTGAACAACCCAATACCCAAGATTATTAAATTCTTATGATGTACATACAGAATGATGGTCTCGATACTAAGAATTGAAGAACTCTAAGAAGAGTCGACAAAGTCCCTACGATACAACTGGCCATCTCAGTGGATCCTCTATCTACAAATTTTGTCAACTACAAATTTGATCAACTAAGAATGGTACCATAAAAAGTCACTATGGTCAGCCTATGCCAAATTTATTTTCCAGTGCTAAGATCAACAACTTTGGTGAAATAGTGTAATACCTTTACCAAGTCGTATTTTTAACATTTTTGTATCTTCATTAATTTTAATATGGAATGTGACCTGTCCGAAAATGATTTTAATGAGTGCAGCGCGTCTATTCGAGCACCGCTCGGGACTGACAAACGGGACCAAAGTTCAATTCTATCGAAAGCCTTTTGGAAGTTAATAAATGCTATATGTAAGGGTAAAGTTTTTTTAGCAGAAAATGGTTGACTTGAATTAGTGCGGTCGTAAATATTATTAAATTTATCTGACTTGGCCCATTGTTAAGACCTTGTACCTTATTTAAACCATTGTTACCTGAAACCTGTCCTTTTATACTATTATCGGTTAACCCAGGATGTTTATAGTCAATACTAATTGATGTCAACCATTTACTGCTAAACAAACTTTACAATATATTCTGTGGGTGTTTTGATGGTTTGCAGATAATCAGTAGTACCAAACTCTTTTCTAAATCTCGCCTGTTCAACCGGTTGATATAAATCAAGTTTGTGTGCAATGCGGTTGGTTATTATTCTTATTAACAATTGTAAGTATGATAACAGGCTTATAGCTCTGTAATTGTCAGATACTCTAACCAAAAAAATTATATTCTGTTTTGATTTATTTTTGTTTTGTTCGATTTCAGGTCGACTATAGTCAGTAGAACACGCAAATTGCATAGAAATGTGATTAGTGAAGAAAGCGAAGATAAAATGCAATTCTGTCGAAAACCTCTTGTTAATACGAAATTCGTCGAATGGTCTTCCAAGCGATTTGCACAATCCAACAAGAAAGAGAAAAACTTCAGAGACAAAGAGTGCACTTCTTACTATGAAAGAGATTGGAGACATTCGAGGTAATATTTTTATATTAGTTATGACATTTGCAAACTTTTTAAATCCTTTTAACAGTAATAGAAAACCAGTGGTACACACAGTACAGTTTAATAACTATTTTTTTTTTTGTGGGAGAGTGATGTATTTTTAAAATGTATGTGTATTTAAATATATTGTAATTATTTTTTATTCAATTTCTAGCAAAGTCATTGTGTGGTAAATGTGACTAAATACATCCAAAACACCAAATTTTATTAAACTTCTTCAAACTTACAAAATTATCAAATTATTGTTTACAATTTATCTTTTTATCACTTGATGTCACTGTCAAATGAAAACCTTAAATAGTTCCATTTCTGTTTTCGAATCAGCCCTTTTTTTCTAGTTTTATTCTTTTCGTCTAGTCTATTGTGTTAAACGACCTATACACGTCCCGACAAGACCACTTAACTGTCCGACGGTTGGTGTGTATGTAGGCTTCTTGACCGACAAAAATAGTTGTATCCGACGGGCCGACCAATTTGGTAGTACAACCGCGACCTCCCGACAGCCGAGATCCATGTACCCAACCTGTTAAATCGGGACATGACAATTATTTTTGGCCAACAAGCATACACATACGCCAACCGTCGGACCCAACGTTATCGGTCATGACAGTTGGGCGGTCTTGTGGGGACATGTGTAGGCCGTTTTAGACTAAGATTAGACTTTCCTACCAGCGGTGTCGCTGGTGGAATAGTGATTTTGGTTAAACTTTCACTGTTGGTAGTTATTTGGGGTCATAATGTTTAGATATATTAAAGATCAAAAAAGAAATGGGAAAATAGTAAGGGATTCAGGTATAATATACGCCAAAATAAACATTGTAGAAGTTAAGATGACTATAAAATTGCATAAGCAATACGTATTTTTATCATATTTCGTTGATTTGATTTATTTATTATTAACTGTTATACTACCAAATGGCGGTTAGACAAAATAGGCAAATATGCCTGTACAGAAAAAGAAGGAAAAGACATCAAATAAATCTAATTTCTAAAATATTAATTCCCAAATGAATATAGTTAATGCTAAGTGTAAATTCATTCGAAATCTGGAACAATTTTCATCAGAACTTCTCTATTTTGGTATTAAACAGTTTGGTATATGTTACTTTCAGAAACGATAGTATACGAACAGAAGCCACAGAAGAACATCGCAAGGCGCTAGCTTCAAGAATTGAATCACAAGTATTTCATATACGGACTGCAGTTCCTCCTAGTCTATTGCAATTACATCCTTTTGATCAACAAATCGCCGTAGCCGGAAATGACAGCTTTGCGTAAGTACTAATTTCCTACATTCTTCTAGTTTGACTTTATATTATTTATCTAAATGTATAGGAACCAATTATTAAACTTTTATTATTATTTTTAAGTGAACTCTAATGGATGAAATTTATTTCAATCCAATAAGTAATACACAGTAATATACATGAGTCATAAACATTGACCAAATTGTACATCTGTTTATTACCAAGAATAATATTTTATTCAACAAAAGTAACGACGTAACGTAACGATGTAATGTAACGACATCGTGACCATACACCGCATGGCGTAGTAAACGCATTTCCATGCGTGTTTCTTAATAAAATAAAGTAAAATAAAATAAATTAATTTAAAATAAAATAACAAAAGAAAAAGAAATACAATAAAATAAAATCAAATTGGATCGGATAAATCGAATCGAATAAAATGAAATGAAATTAAAACCATAGCTCGGTACTTATACGATCTTAGTACTTAGACGAAGAAATCTATGTTTCTCAACTTCGGTAACTCCCGGAGTGCAATATATATTTTTTGGTTTATACCTGTTAAATAAACCATAAATTTCAATTAAACCCATATTTCATGTATTATTCCAAATCAGGCACATATTTTATATTAGTCCTAGAAATTCTTTAGTTTAACTGAGGGTTTTGGTTTTGGGATCTTCTTCTTCTAGTTCCATGACCGTTATCGATCGTTGGATATCATGTTGGCTACCATATTCGCTATCGTGACTTTATTGACAGCAGCTGTAAATAACGATGTAGTTGATTTTCCATACCATTGCCTTAGATTTTTCGGCCGTGATGTTCTTTTTCTACCATGACCGCGATTACCTTGGATCTTTCCCTGAATGATCAGATGTAAAACATCATATTTTTCAGGGTGTCTCATAATGTGACCGAAGTATTCCAGCTTGCGTTTCTTTATTATATTGACCAGTTGTGTTGTTTAGTTCAGCCGTCTAAGGACCTCCTCATTTTTAACTCTGTCGGCCCAGCTTATTTTCAGTAGTCGCCTGTATCCACATCTCAAAGGCTGTCAAGCGTTTAAGAATAGACTCATTTAGATTCCACGCTTCCACTCCATACAGCAAGACAGGAAAGATGTAGCAAGATGTCATTCGAACTCTAAGGTCAATGCTAAGATCGTGACTGCAAAGTACGTTTCTCATTTTTACAAAGGCAACTCGGGCTTGTTCTATTCGGCTTTTAATTTCTGTGGTTGGATCCCAGCTCTCATTGATATTACTGCCGAGATACACTAGTTTCTCTGCTCTGTCCAGTGTGGCATCTCCGACTTTTATACCGTCATCCTGTATATAATTTTGTTTGCTAACTATAATATATTTAGTCTTCTTAACGTTGAGTTTTAATCCAAGTCTGTTTTATTTTGTTCATTAGATTTTGAAGGTCTTCTCCGCAATTAGCAAGCACTAAGGTATCGTCAGCATATCTAATATTGTTGACGATTACTCCATTCACAATAAGACCTTCGGTTGTCCCCATTAAGGCTTCCTTAAATATTTCCTCCGAATATAAGTTAAAAAGTAAAGGCGACAATATACAGCCTTGTCTCACTCCTCTTTTTATATTTATTTCATCCGACAGTTCTTGATCAACCTTTATTCTTGCCACTTGATGCCAGTATAGATTTGTAATTATTCGTAGATCTTTATCGTCCAATCCAGCTGTTTCCAAAATTTCTAGCATTTTGTTATGTCGGACTTTGTCAAAAGCCTTTTCAAAATCGATTGCACAAATGTACATATTTTGATTTATATCTCTGCATCTCTGTACTAGCACCTGTATATTAAACAAGGCTTCTCTTGTACCCAAGCCACTCCTAAACCCAAATTGAGTATTGCTAATTCTGTTCTCTAACAGCGTGTAAATTCTGCTGTGCATTACTCGCAGGAAGATCTTCAAAACGTGACTCATCAGACTTACTGTCCGATAATCACCGCATGTCTGTAGACGATGTTTCTTAGGTATTGTGACAAATGTCGACTTTAACCAATCAGTTGGTAATATCCCAGTGTCATAAATTCTGTTAAAGAAATTACACAGAGCTTTAATTCCATTTTCTCCCAAAAACTTTAGTATTTCAGCACTTACTTCATCGGGGCCAAGTGCTTTTCCATTTTTTGCCGTTTGTATTGAACGTGTAACCTCACTTTCTGTTATAGATGGACCTGATATAGCAATCGGTGTATAGTGTTCTACTCTCTCATCTTCAAATAATTCAGAAATGTAGTTTTCCCATTCTTTTAACTGTTCATTGATGTCTAATATTCTCTGTCCGTTTGTGTCTTCTAAACTTAGGGATACTTGTTTCCGTTTGTTTCCAGCGACCTCTTTTAATTTCTTGTGCAGATGAAATGTATCGTGTTTCTTTTCATATTGTTCAATTTCATTGCATTCTTTACTATGAAATTGTGTTTTCGCGTGTCTTATCTTCTGCCTGATTATTGCGTGGATCCTCTTGTATTCATTTTATCTTTATTTCTGACTTCTCTTCTTTGATCCATAAGTCTCAGTATTTCTTCTGTCATCCACCCTTGTTTGTTTCTTGCTTTTAGCGCACTCAATTTTGTTTCTTGAACAGTCTTTAAGATGTCTTTAATTCTCGTCCAGTTTTCCTCAGTACTTTCCTCTTTGCTTGATGTTAACTTCATTTTTTGTTCTAATATACTAGTTATTTCTTGTTTTACAGTATCATTTAACATCTTTTCTCTATCAATAGTAACTGTTTGCTTATTCGTCCTTGCAACTCTGTTTAATCTCAGTCTTATTTTTTCCTACTAAAATATTGTGATCTGTTGGTACATCTGCGCCTGGATATATTTTTACTGTTAATACGAAATTTCTGTATCTTTTATTTATACATATGAAGTCTTTTTGGTTACGACCAACTCGTTCAGGTGTATCTGCTGGTGATTTCCAGGTGTAAAGACGACGTTTTGGAATTTTGAAAATTGTGTTTGTTATTACTAATTGCTTTTCTACGCAAAAAAATGCCAACATATCTCATCTTTCATTTCGTATTCCCAGACCATATTTTCCTACGATATCTTCCTGTTCGCCTTCACCAATCTTTGCATTAAATTCTCCCATGATAATATTGAGATCGTGTTTCTTTGTAGGTTCTAATACTTACTATGTTCACATTGATTGTTGTTGATTGTATTTATATCATCAGTATCCTGTCTGAGAATAGGACGACGTTTTTTACAGTTTTATCTGTTTCCTTCGACACAATTATTGCTACACCATTTTTGTGTTTTGAGCTGTCTTCTCCTGAATAGTATACAATGTGATCTATAGTTACTCGGGGCCGTTGTACTTATCAACCATTTCCATGATTTGTTTCCATTGTTTATTGGGAAAATCAGGCTATAGTTGCTTTCCCGTTGCCTTCCTAAAGTGTGTCATAGAATAGTGTGCAAAGAACTATGGTGGTGTAATTATAATTATATGTATCATTATATACTATAATGAATAAATTGTATGTTCTATTTTAGCATATTTGACTGGGGTACTGGAGCGAAAACTACATCTGGTCAAAACAGGTCATCCAAAGTAGTAAATAGTAAAATCACATCGATGGAGTGGATTAACAGTCACGATATAGGTATGCTTATGGTAGCTTCTGATGATGGTGGTATCAAATTGTGGAAACCCAACACTGGGACTAGTCGCGAGCCTTCACTCATTACTGCTTGGCAGGCGTTTAATGAATTAAAACCGAAGTATTCGGGTAAGTATTTAACTAGATTCTACTTTCGTCATAATACCGCAAAAGACAGCAATAGATTGATGGAAATAGGCCGATTCAATAAAATTTTAGTATTCGTAAATCATAATGAAATTCATTTTACTTTATAGGTATAGAAATGACATGGGAGCAATGGACCCAAACTCTAATAACTGCAGGAGACTCACGGATTATTAGATTTTGGGATGCAGAAAGGGAGTTAAAAGCTTTTGACATACCTACAGGTAAGTAGTAACCCAGTATATATTACTGTATATTTATGTAAGAGGTTAATGGTTAGGAATGGGTGCAATTTCAGGTCATTTTGAAAAAAATCCATTGTAACCATGAAGTACTTGTTTCCTCTCTGTCACTGGAAGTGGACCGGGAATAACCATTTCAAGTCGTTCAAAATGCCCTCTGGAAAGATATTTTGCCATAATACCACCACTTCTTGTTCTAGGACATTTTTTACCGTTACATAAATCACATTTCTTACACCAACCTTGTACATATCGGCGACAATTGATCCAGTAAAATCTATCTCGAACTTTGACCAATGTTCTGTTGACATCAAAGTACTCCAGAAAGGCTGCTATGAAGTTCTTTTAATACACTTTTTTGTGCGATTTTGGCTGCACCAATTGTTGAACTGTAAGTATTCTATCGGGACTTTCCCACTTACGATATAATAGACATTGGAAAGATACAGAGATTCCCATGTATCCCAGTACGCCTTTATATTTCCACTGTATTTGGTTATTTCCTGCCAAATAGAAGGCACGGAGTATGCCGAATGTTACTTCTTTCCAACAGTATAGTTCGGTGATGGATATATTAATGGAATGGGGCAGCATTTCGTTGGAAGCACATACAGATCTTGTTAGTTAGAGGAAGGTGTCCTTAATTCTGGTGGTACATTAGGGAATGTCTGAAGAACATACCATAAAGGCATTTTGTAGGTAAAAATTTTCTCCTAATACAGGATAAAAAGCTCGACTGCACATAGTCAGTGTATCCATGTAATACTTTACAGATGTTGGTATTCGTGTACTAGTCTGGTCTCCTTGAAGTCCAGACCTTAACCACATAGAGCATTTGTCAGACAACTAAAGAAGAGTAGTTAGGCAAAATTATGGCGAGTTTGAAACTGTGTTAGAACAAGTGCTGGTAAACGAGTGGAAACGAATACCACAAAACGAAATTGATGCTTTAATTGAGTCTATTTGAGCTCGATGAGGAAATACTCTATTTTAATCTCCATATTTTAGAATGATTTTAAAATTTCGACTTTAAATATATCTAACTCCGGAATAACAAAAATTTTGTAAGTTTTTATTTGTCGTTAAATTAATCAATTTTTTGGAACTTAAAACAAACTTATTGTCCGGTTAATTTTGCAGGACAGTGAATTTTAAATTGATGTATAAACATTTTATAGATTAGAATATAAATCTATTATTAAACCAGTATTTTTTTCTAGGAACCGACAGTTCTGTTACGTGTATAGACTCGACGTTTTCAAGTATATGTCACGAGAATTACAAAAAGCACTACAATGGCTTCGAACTAAACGATGATGGTTTATTGCTAAATGGCGCTAAATCGTACCATGGGCCGAAGTTGGGATTGTGCGTGATAGGTTTTGTAGATGGTTCGATAAGACTGTTTGATCGTCGGTGTAATCCCAACGATGCAAGAGTAAAGGTGTGGTTGGAACATCCTGGAAGTGTCCTAACTGTGCAGCTTAGAGAAAATATTGTGATTAGTGGAAGGTGAGTAAAAAATTTAAAAAAAAATCAAAAATACAATTTTGATGTCAAATATGATTTTACATGCTTTTTAGGTATATTATTTAAATACGAATTAAAACAGAACAGAACAAAATATAATTTTGTAATATTTTCATTTATTTATTAGAATATGATTTGTAGCATATTGTGGCTCCAAGTGACTCGAGTATAGTCCAATCAGCAGGTGCAATTGCTAATCACATGCCAGATACTCACATACTCTTACTGAGAATAGTCCAACGGTGTTAAATACCATTGTGGACGTCAGTTTACAGATCCAAAATACGAAATTATGCACGTACCAAACGTTTCTTTCAAGAAATCGATTATACCACCCACTGTGTGACATATTGCGCCATCTTCCGAAAAGGTTAAGATTAATACTTCCACCAGCCCAAAAAATCACACCATTTTTCAATCGTATGTCTTAACTTGATCCTTAATAGCTTGAGGATTATCATTACTACAAATTTGAGAGTTTCGTTTATTAACGTAGCTATTCAACCGAATATGAACTTTATTGCTGAAAAAAATTTTGTTGTTAAAATTTAGATCGAAAACAGTCTGGTTTGCACAAGTTGCGCGATGATTTTCACGAAAGGAACTTTGTACAATGTGCAAGATTTATTCAGACGTCATTCTATTTATGATGAGGTGACCCAGAATACTGAGCGCAAATCAGCTTTAAGTTCTAAAAATTTCTGCCAGACTACTAGAAACAGTGTTGCCAGCTTAAAGTTCTATAGAAAGAAAGATTAGAATAAACAGCCATTAAATTAAATAAAAAAATAGTCCATCTAATTTATTATCGGTCCTTAATTTATTTGCATATTTTTTTAAAAAAATTGTTATAAATGTTAGTTCATTAAAACTTGCTAATATTAACGTGGCAAATTATTATATTTCCTTTCTAGTACTTCTGGTGATGTAAGAATATTTGATATTAGAAAAAATGACTCGATACACACTACTCAAGCAGTTCCCAGTTATGGAATGTCATGTATGTCGATTCATCGATTTGCTAACACATATGCCTGGTAAGTTTGTTAGTTAATTAACGCAAAGAGTAAATAATTCTATAAGTCTCGAATTATTATGTATTATTACACTTCATGGAAATAACTTTATTTAACACAAACGATATTACAATACTTTAACAGACTGACGACTGTAAAAAAATATCATCGATTTTTTTTTAATATACATAGTACGAGTAATATGGGACGCACTGGCTAGGAAAAATATTCTCATTCCATATTTTCCATATTCCATATGTACTTTTGTTATAGGTTACTATTTTAAGTAAGATTGTGCAAAAATATGGAATGAGAATACTTTTCCTAACCAATGCGCCCATACTACCAGCTCTAACAAGAAGTCTATTTTCTGTACGATTTACAAGACACGACAATTTACAAATTTAGTAATTTTGTAATGTTACAGATATGATTTAAAAATATATATAAGGAAATTCAATTGTTTAACTCAGATAAAATCTCATAGAAAATGGAGTAAATATGGCTTCAGTTGGAATGTTTATATTTGTAATGATCACAAAACTATGACATATTTTTCATTGTACTAGTTCCTCTACTTTGTACTACCTCTACTATGTTTGTCTTATTCACCTGTTGCGTATTCTTCTTCATCTTTTCCGTGGCTCGATAATTTGATTCCAAAATATTTCACTCACAATACGGGTTATATCGCTTTGTTACTAAGGTCTGCTTGCCATTATGCTAAATTCAGTGTTGAATTGAGTACTAAAAATATTGTATCTACAAATTAGATGCGCGCGCCGATTAATTCTTCATTCTATCTATCTCTATCTATATACGGATTTTTACAGTTGTCGCCTTTCGATGTCCTCGTCCACTTCATCCCTTCATGATATTCCGGGTCTACCTCTTTTCCTCCTTCCTATTGGGCTCAAATCCGAAATCTTTGCTATCCACCTTGTATGATCTGTTCTTCTCACATGTCCATAATAAATTAAACGTTTTTCTTCGATGTAGCTAAGTATGTCTTGTTCTACAGCCATTCTTCGTTTTATCTCATCATTTCTGATGCGATCTATTTTTGTCACTTTGCAGCTTCTTCTCATGAACTCCGTTTCAGTTGCTGTGATTTTGGACCTGTTTCGTTTATTTATTACCTTAACTGTTTTAAATTATACCGATTTTTATTTAAAAAAATTAACGATTCCGTCACTACACCCACACCGGTGACTTCATTCCTACTCTATGTACGTTATAAAATTGGTATTTTATAACAAAAATAGACCTGTTCCAGGATTTCCCTCAAAACTCGACGGTTCTCGAAATAATGATAATATTCCATAATTTAGTCGTTCACTGTATAAAACTCGTACCAAACTTTCATTAAAGTTTAAGGGGAAGTATTCCATATTTCTTTGAGATCTGAAATGCTAGTTAACTGTATTGTATATAATTTGTCCATATAAATTCTTGACGATAATAAACATTTATTAATAATTTTTAAAAATGTATCTGTTTTTTAAGAGCACAATCAATTGCTAATTATGAAATCTTTAATTTTAGCGGTTCTATGAACCAATTCATCAGCATCTATACCCTTAAAGGTACGCCCCTTAACACTATCAGGGTCTACGAGGGATTTATGAGCCACAAGATTGGACCTGTGACGTGCCTCAACTACCACCCCCACAAAGTAGCTCTAGCAACTGGCACCTCTGACTGTTGCGTCAATGTTTATAGCCTTGAAGGCAGAAGGTGACGAGATTCTCAGCCCTAGGCCTTGTTATGGGGCCTTCTGGGCCATTATTAAATATTAGGCCGAGATTTTTCAGTTCTGCGCGTTTCTTTAGTTCAGAGATTGTTAGCTAACGGTCGTTTTTTGTGACTGATTAAAAACAGGTTATTGGTAAAAGTGCTTGAAATAGACAGGGTATTAGCTAGAGCTTATGTGTACCGGGATGGATCACAAAATGTGCAGGTATTTTCAGTTCAGTTATATGTTCTGAAAATGAATCGCCCAATATGTTGGGTGATTAATACGTTTTTGTAAATTATTTTATTAAAAGAATTTGTGTTTCTTTGTTGATTTTAACACCGGATTTATTTATTTAAACATAGGTTTAAAATTGTACATAATTTTAAACATTAATGTAATTTTAATTATCAAACTTGTAAGATTTATTATAAATTACTCTTTAAAAAAGCATACAAATAGCATTACTAGATAAGCTCTCGGATTTTAGAAAAGTAGAGCCAAAAACGACAAAATTCCATATCTGTATGGTTAAGCCAGAGGGCAAAATTATAAGCCTATATTAAAAGGATTGCATTATAAAAGGATATAGCTTGAGGCTTCTTAAAAAATTTGATAATAGCTACTGATATCAAAATGTATGTACCATAAGTTTGCCAGCGCCTGTTGTAACGCTACCATAGTTTCAAACTCGCCATAATTTTACTAACTACTCATCCCAAGTTGTCCCACAAATGCTCAAATGGGGTTAAAATCTGGACTTCTAGGAGGCCAGGCTACCACCTGAATACCAGCATCTGTAAAATATTGCATTGTTATCCTAGCTAATGTATAGACAACTCCACTGACAAATAAAACTGCATAGATAGAGTAGTTACTCATTTCATGGAGTTATTTTTCGGGCAATCAGGATAACGCATTAATTGAATTGAGGGCGTAGACAAGAAATGAAGTCGTCAGAGATTATATATTTACAGATTACTTAGCCGTTTACGTCATTGTTTCGCTGTTATTTGTTTAAGGGGACTTTTACTTTCTAAATATTCAAAAAATCGATTTTTATGTAAGTAAAAAGTTACTCAGTATCATATAAATACTGTCCTAAAAATGTATTAAGAAATTTGAAATGGTAACGAATTTATAGCTGTATTTACAACGATGGGCACCTAAGCTAAAACTCGTTTTTATACAACACGCGCTCACCTGTGCACCTGTAACTCAAAAAGTATTATTTTGAAAACCGGAAAAAAGCCTGGATCTGGTGGTCATTTAAAAGGCGGTCGATGTAGGGGACGCACTGAAATAAGCATAATATGAAAATACCATTCAAAGGTACTCTGCTTACTGCAGAAAACAATTCTGAATTATTCAGTTCCTCGGCAAAATTGGATAAAATAAAAATTGGAGAAATACAAAGTTGGTCGGAAAATATCGACGAAGCTCGTATTGCTCAAGCCAATAGAAGGAGCTGCGAGACATCAAAAGAAGGCAAATTTATGAAAAAATAAGCTTTGGCCGACCATTTACAGCTTTCACTGCACAGTGAGGGCACCCATATGCACCAGGAATCGCTGATTAGAGGTAAAAAAAGTAAATATGTCTGTTTTATTCCATAAAATTACACTAAAAATACTTTAAAGCGTTTTTCTCGAAATGACATTTTTCAAAACTGGGAGACGTTTGTCTCAAAATGTACTACACCAATCTGAGTAAACCAAATTGTTTTGATACTTTATATGTACGACTTAAAATACACGGAATATATTCAGATGCGTTCAAAACATAGAAAGGAACTAAACAGAGCTGCACACTATCACTATTATTGTACAACATATATTCTGAATATATAATGAGAAAAGTACTAGACGAATGAGATGCAGGAATTACTATTGGAGACAGAAAAATCAGCAACCTCCGATACGCAGATGATACGTATACTGACTTAATGGCTAAGCCGCATCAGCGAAGAATTTGGACTTCAGATTAACACCGGAGAAAACAAAAATAATGATCGTAGACAGAGTAAATAATAATCTACCGCACATACACCAAGTGGCGAATTTCGAAGTGGTAGACATATTTGTATACTTAGGCTCCCTAATAACCAACAATGGCGACTGCTCCTCACAAATGAAGCGTAGACTAGCAATGGTCCAAAGAGCAACAGCTAAATTGATTAAAATATGGAAAGACCGAACAGTAACAAAGAATACTAAGCTCAGGTTGGTCATTGCCCTTATTTTTCCCATTGCTACATAAGCAGCTGAAACATGTGACAGTAAAAAAAAATCGATAAGAATAAGATCAAAACCTTCGAAATGTGGATCTATAGAAGAATTCTACGCCTGTTCTGGACAGAACATAGAACCAACCTGTCAATTCTGGAAGAGCTTCATATAAAATATAGGCTATTGAAAAAGTAAAACGAGCATACCTAAATCACTTTGGTCATATAGCTAGAAGAACGGGGACTATGGAACTATTGGTAGTAGAAAGAAAGGTAGAAGGCCGAATACCAAGAGGTAGGTCGCCAACACGATGGACAGACCAAATGAAGACTCTGATGGGAAGATCCTTACATGAAGCCATCCATGTGGCACAGGATCACAGCCAATGGAATCAGCAAGCCAATAATATTTAGAGTGTGGTGGCACCACAGGCAAGGAATGAGGAGGATATATATATATATATATATATATATATATATATATATATATATATATATATATATATATATACGACTACTAAATAAACCTCTAAAAAGTTTAAAAAAAAACGGCGACCTTTATATAAAATCACATATAAAGGTCTTTACAGTATAAAAAAAATTCATATTTTAAGGTTTATTTATTAGTTTTAAGTCTCAAGAATTGAATACTTGGTATGAATATTTGGTATTTGTCAAAATCGAAGCATCCCTAACTTCTCTGAGTATTATTTAGTCTTCGAATAAATGTTTTGTCGACGTCTGCCTTGGAATCAAAAGTAGTATAATACAAATTATCTTTAGTATTTACTATACCTTCAGTTTTTCTCCAACATTTTGATGATCCCCCGTTAAACAACACCTATACTGCCAATACATAAATATAGATTTATGTTTTGTAACACACTCTTTATAAATTGATTTGGTTTTATGTTATTTCAAACAAAAGTTAATACTTACTTGACTAGTTAGGAAATGGCCCATGAACAGTGCTCAAAATTATTAAGGCTAATATTTAATGAACAACTTGATCTAAAATTTCGTTTTGTTTGAAGTAATAACAACTATGGATGGTTGTTGATAGCTTTAATAAGGTTAATAGTTTTTTCAATATGTTCTGTCCTGATCATTTTCATCGATCGAGTGATGTACCATATTAATACATTCGTTACATACTTTACGATATTATAGCAAGCGCCATTATAATAAAGTTTCTTCGCACAAATTTTAAAAGGGCATTGGTTTAGTAAATCGTAACTGGCGCAAGTCTATGAATAGTCGATAACATTAAGTTTTAAGCACTAACTAACAATGTTTAAGAGGCTATAACTTCGATTTTCAATACCATTTATACTAGATATTATTATTGTTCATAGCTCTACCTAAGAAGACAACAGCAAAAACCTGTGCTGATTATAGAACCATCAGTTTGTTAAGCCATTTTTTTTTTAAATTTGTCTAATGGTAATACATGACCGTATTAGTTTGGTTTCGGGTTTGAAACGAGAGAGGCATTTTGTTTGGGATAAACGTATTTTCTTAAAGATGTCGTGATATATCTGTAGACATGTATTGTTATTTTATTGACTTCCAAAATGTATTTGATCGTGTTACGCATTCTATATTGATCGAAGTTCTAAGAGACATTGAGACAATAACTTTTAAATAATTTAACACATCACATTTAATTTTCAACAAAAAATATACACAATACCTATATTCCTAGTTTAGTTGTTAATATATTTTCCCCTCAACAACTTTTCCAATATTCGTTAATGGTTGCAGTAAAGACGATGATCACCTGTCACCAGTTTACCACAACAGTTTTTAACTATGTTTACTCAAACATGTAATAGTAATCCTCGTATCCTCGTATCGGAATTTAAGTAATATTTATTTATTTAATTTCACTTTTACTAGATTGTGTTTCCACTTAAGTTTCATTTTGTTTTATTTTATCAATTTTAAAGTCATATTTAATAATCACACACATATAATATTGGTATAATTGCCGTATATTCTGTACCAGAAAGCATCCAATACGGGTCATTATATTTTCAGAATTTAGTTTATCATGTACCGTTGTCCTGAAGATGCATAGCAAATTAAAGTATGAGAAACCGATCTGTACTATGTAATAAATACACATTTAGACTTTTGGCCACGTTTTCAGCAATTCGCCCCACTGTGCACTGGAAAGAGTGCTGTGACTTGATGCGAAAATACGTCATTCGCTTAGCCGGTTCATTACATTCGGCGTTTACTGTATATTCTGCAAAGTTTTGTGTGCCGAACGATTTTAAGGTCCATCATTTTACTACATATTTAATTATTTTGAGCACTGTATTTACTTATAATTGTTGTAAGAGTAAATAGGCCTTGTGCTGAGTTAAAAATTAAAATTGCAAGGAAGAAATTCCTGTAGATTGTATACCAATTGGTTTTAAAATGTCCATGAAATTAATTAATATTTTAGTAGTGTCTACAGAAGACAGTATTCAATTCGTTTTTATAAAACTATTTTGATACACTTGAACAGAAGGATACAGGGTGGGTTGTTTTAATTAGATTAGATGGACTGTTTTAATTAATTGTGTAAATAATATTTATTATTTGAAGGAATTTAATGGAAATGCTCTGCTGTAAGGTTTTCATCACATGCATGCTCCCTATTTAAGGCGTATTTCCTTTAAGCATGATTAAAAAAACTGCATTAATAATTTGCTTTGCTTAAAGCTTTCAAAATGATGAAAATGGAAAATAGTTTGGTTTAAAGAGATGAACACGTGCATACGTTTACTTTTGGGTTTGATTGTGATTCCTAGGTCTCAGAGGATGTTTTATATTTACTTTTACCATTAGAAAGGTAAATTTATTTTTCTCTGTATAATATTCGCACAATAATCGTAAGACTAAAAAGAAGACAAAGAATCGGTTCATAATGCCCATGTCTATAAACCATGCCTAACACTAGAAACCTTTTCCTGTTTACATTTTTTTTCCTGTTTAAAGTTAAGCAATTATGTAAAAAAGATTAAAGTGAAAAATATCTGCGTGATAAATTAGATCTCTAATGAAAAGTTCTGCTTAGTTAGTCTGCATACGGGTCCTTATTCATATGAGAAGCGTCAGAGAAAGGTAATCGTTAAACTTGAGAACTGCGGGGTACTGACTCATGACGTATCTCCTACGCTTCAGAGAGATTACGAATCTTACTTAATGTTAGTTCTATGAGCCTCCTCACGATTAACGATTACGCTTGTCTAAATCGTTTCTTACACTTCGTATGATAACCACCTGTGTGAGTACTGATTAAGTATTCCCTTAGATCTACTGGCCAATATCTTTTGAGTGTTCTGTTTTGTTGTGGTTCTAGCAATGGTTACTGTAGTGT